CGACGGACCCATGGGCTGCGCGGTGGAGCGGGCGCCCTGAGTGCGGCACCCGTGTTGGGGTCGCCCGGGCGGCGAGCTAGAGCCAGGTGAGCCGGGCGCGGGCACCCGGCCGGTGGGGAGCCGGGACGCGGGGCCGGGGCGCGCGGGAGGCTGCACGGGTGGAGCGCCCTGGAGGAGGCCCTGGGGACGCCGTGGAATGGGTGGCTGTGACCTGCGCGCAGTGCGCGCTGCAGATCTCCGCTCGCGCACGGGCAGCCTTTCTCCGCGCAATTGCTGCTTATTTGGAGCGACATACATAAGGGACCTGGGTGGGAGGGGGAGCGTCTGAGATCCTGTAGCGCTCCGTGCGAGGCCCTGAGAGGCGCCCCTGCTGGCTGCCAGAATTGGAGAAGGTCGTTCATGACCAGAGCTGGCGGGGAGATGCGAAGCCTTCGCCACCCGAGGGTCGGCTCTGGCCTGTGGTAGGTTCCTTGTTTGGAGAAACTCCTCCTCCCCCCTGCGCTCACCTGGCTGGTCTGCCACCCCCACTTCGGATGCTCCGCTGGCCTCTGCGGATGAGGACCATCTTTGCGCGCCGCAGAGGCAGCAGGCATGATGCTGGGGGAGGGGCCGGCACACTCGCCTACCGCAGCCAGGCTCCCTGGCCTGCCTGCCCACCTTGGGAGGCAGCGACCAGCCGCGAGTACATAAGAACTGGGTCTTGGGGATGGAGGAGGTAGAACAGGCCCAGCCTCAGCCAGGTCAGTCTTTCTGGAGGAATTTGCCTCCTAACTCCCTGATTGTCATTGGAGTGTGCTGGGTCTGCAGCTGGGAACTGGGGGCCTGGTGGTGCAGTGGCAGTGGTGGGGGTGGGGGACCAGTGTGGCATCTGCAATGCTCTGTTATGCAGCTTGGGGTGGGAGTGGGGTGCTTCAGGTCCGGGTCTGGAGCACAGACCTCTATCTATTGGGTGACCCCTGTCACTGGGCTCAGAATGGAAGTCCAATGGCTCATGGACTCACCCTCAGACTTGCTTGCCCACAGGGCAACTGAGTGGGTGGATGTAGCCTGCAGTGCCAGGCCTTGCACAGGGCAGCTGGAGTCTTAAACATCTGCTCCTTGGTTAAAAAGCACCTGCTATGGATAAGCAGATCACGTGTGACCAGAGGCTGGAGGTTTATATCTGACTGGTGCAGTCTGTTTAGGAACCTCAGGAGAGTTGCTGGGCAGAGTCTCTTCCCTCCTACCCCATTCCCTTGGGAAAGCTTGAGGCTAGCTCTGGGGACACAGCTCTGGGGACACAAATGCAGAAGCATGCCCAAGTCAGTGTGTCCAGGACTCCTGCCAGAGTCTCTTAGTCTGATTCTGAGGTCCCAGCCTAGAAGTTTCAACTGGCAGGTGTCCCCGTGGTAGGGGGTGCGTCATTTATGGGTCTGGAGTGACCCATATATGCAACTCACAGAGAAAGTTAAGACAGAAGCTGGACCCACAGCAGGAGAGATGGCTATGCTGTGGTGGTAAGACCCTTCTGAGCCAAGGCACCTCTGCAAAGACCTCTCATGGCAGGGGCCTGTGGCACCCTTTAGATCAGTGGGGCTAGGACAGGCCTGAGCTGTTCTCGGGAACTGAAGTGGCCCCCATCCATCTCTCCCTCTCTCCCTCACGGTCACAGCTTCTTCAGGCCTCACTGTCTCTGCTTGGACTGGCCATTTGCCAGGCTGAGACAGTATTCCTGTCCCCCACTCCCAGGGGCAGGGATGGGGTGGGAGGGAGAGCCTGGCGCCAGAGCTCAGAGCCCAGGGTAGGTACTCTGCAGAAGCACTTGGACCTCTACCTCTAGAAGGTAGTCCCTGCCAGTCTCCACAAGTGCCCCCCTTGTGACAGGGAGCTGACATCTCAGCGTCTTGGTCCCTCCACTGCTGGCTCTTACCTGCCTGCCTGTGAGCAGGGATGCTCAGACCATTGTGAACAGGGATGCTCTTCCAGTGGCTACTGGTCCTGACAGTCATCTCTAGAAGTAGTGTGTTCCTCAACATTAAGCACTGTGCAGGAGGTAGCTTGGTGAGGATGCCACCCAGGACTTGCTGGTTATATACAAGCTCAGGGACCAGACCACACTGTGTTGGAGCCCCAGTGTGAAAGGTGGTGAGTGGGAATCTGGTATGTGGACATCGGGGCATTGGTATACAGAGAGGAGAACGTGTACAAGAGCATACTTCAGTGTGCGTGCATTCCTCCAGCAAGCCTTGGTGCCTCATATATGCGGCACATGCGCACACACACACACACGTAAAATTGCACTCGGGGGTAAGATGGATTGTCAGGCATGCGTCTGCCAGTGTGCAAAGGGGCGTGTTCCTATGCATGTGAAGAGTGCCCCAACAGCTGTGCTGCAGACCTGGTCTCCTGCAACCTGGGCAGACTGGGACCTCCCCCAGGGGTGTGACTTTTGGAGGGGTGTGGTCTGGGAGAGGTCTCTTTCTGACTTTGAACTTGGGAACTGCTTGCCTCCTGGCTCAAAACCCTTTAAGGGGGGTTTGTGGCTTCTGCATACAGGGTTTGACCCGGATGTTCTCCCTAGGAGGGACTGAGCAGGGGCACTTGTGAGCAGAGCTGTGCTCTGATCCTGCCTCCATGCCCTGCTGACCTACTCAGGGCTGACCCCCAAATCTCTGTCCACACCCAGTGCAATCCACCCAACTCTGGGTCTGGTGCCCAACATTACGGAGGCCGAAGGTGAGGGTCCAAGGATCTGTGAGGATGTGCCACGGGGACCAGCATAGAGCAGGGTTTCCTATGGGAGGTGTCCCACCTTCAGGAGGGGACTCAGCCAGACCTTCGAAGTGCAGTGTGCAGAGGAATGGGGAGCCAGTGAGCTGCAGTGTCGGGGTGAGTCCTGGGAATTAGGACCAGGCAGGGCAGGATTGGGGGAAGGGACTTCATTACCATCTTAGAATCATCACAGACCCCAGGAACTGGGCACCTGCCGTGTAGGGTAGGGGGAGCACGGAGGAGGGCGGCCTGCCTGTTCTGCAGAGCAGCCTGCTTGGTGGCTGCTGCGGCAGAAGCAGCCCGTTGCCTGGCACCTCTGCTGTTGCCATGGTAACAACTGAGGTGCTAACTTGCTAATGAGTCCCCCTCGGCTGCAAATAACAATACTGTAGTGGTTAATAGGGCCCAGCTCCAGCTCCCAGGGTTCCCTGGGAGGCAGAGGAGGGAACAGGTCCTAAGAGTGAACAAGCCCCCCCACCCAGCACAGTGTCCCTCAGGGTAATTCAAGGACTACTGCAGAGAGTGGGGTAACACCTTCCCTGCCCCCTGGACTGGGAGCCTTCTGCATCTCTTCAGGTGATAGTGTACCCCACTTACCTGGGAGGTGGAGGCTTCTGGGTAGCAGGGCCGAAGGGTTCAGCAAAGACCCCCTGCATGCCAGCGTCCTGTGCTGTGGGCCTCTCGGGGTCCTGGGCTCTTGGTCCTACTATCTAGACATACAGGAGCCAGGGGAGGAAGAATGGGACAATCTCCTTCCACTGGCCCTGATTGAAGATTATGGTTAAACTCAGGAAAGCGCCCCCAAACAGCTCAGATAGGCATTATATCAGAATGCCTTTGGCAGGCAGGGAACCCCTTTGGCAAGTGTTGTTTGCTGTTGAGCTCCTGCAGTGTGACTGACCTGGGTCTGCCCCCCTCGCCCCAGTGGAGGACCTGCAGAGAGGCCTGGGACACAGGGGGTCAGGGAGTAGAACTCCAAAGTCCTCTCAGACCATGTGATAACCAGGTCCTGACTGCTGTACCTCCGGGGGATGGCTCAGTGTGGGCAACCCCTTGGCTTCAGGGAATCCAGAGGACACCTTGCCCCAGGATCCCTGGTTGTAGTAGAGGGATAGGAAGGGGCAGGCCAAGTAGGAGTCTAGGAGCATGTCTGGAGAGCCAGGCTCCTTCCTACCCCCACTGCATTTGAGAGGGGTGGCTGGATGGGGCATGTCACACCTGCCCTACTGTTTTGCCTCCTACTACCTAAAGCCTCAGTTTCCCCATATTTTAGTCAAACTCATTGTCATGACACTGCCTGCCTCTTGGGATCTGAAAGCTTGTGGAACTGGGGCAGGAGAGATGAATCAACAGTTAAGAGGACTGGCTGCTCTTCCAGAGGATCTGAGTTCAGTTCCCAGCACCCATGTGGTGGCTGACAGCAGTCCATAACTCCAGTTCCAGGGGCTCTGACCTCCATGGGCATTGCACACACATGGTTCACTTACATGCACCCATACAGGCAGAACACTCAAACACATAAAAATAGTAAATAAATAAATCAGTTAAATAAGTAAATTCTTTAAAAGACTTGTGGAACATAGAGAAGGGCTATAAGGGACAAGGGAGTGAGTGCCTGACAGGGTGAGGGTCACCAAGCCTGCAGGACAGGGCCTCTGGGTCCTCTGATGCCAGCCACCTCCAGTGCCCTCCCCCCATCCACCCAGCAGCCCCAAGCACCTCAGGCACCCCAGCCTTCATCTTGGGGCTGGCTAACCCCCATCCCTTTGTGTAGTGAGTGCAGTGCACCGACCCCAAACTGCAGCATGTGGCAGTGGCAGTAACACAGGAACCTCCTGGCACCAGACCTGCGGCCTCCAGGAGCTCATGAGCATGGGAAAGAGAGAGAGGTTCTGCATCACCATCACTGTCCGCTGGCATCCGAATTATGAGCTTAGGGGACAGTCCCTGGAGATGAGGTTGGATTGGCTGCAGGGCGCTGAGCCAAGGAAAGGAGGGAGGTCTGAGGACAGCTGGCTAGGAGGGGGAGCAAAGGGACAAGCTTTGCACCCCAGGGTCCTGTGGCAAGGCAGAGGCTGGTGGAACAGAAGTTCTGGAAGGTAAGAATATTATTCACCTCAGGGCCCCAAAGAAGGACCCTCTCTTAGAGTTCCCATCTGTCTGCCTTACTGCATCCTACAGCGCACTTGGCACCAGAGTCCAGGCAGAGCAGAGGCTTGTCAGGGTCTCTCCTCTGCACCCACCCCACTGGGTTCTATCCAGGAGGAAGAACCCAAAGGATACAGGTGCCAAGTACAGGGCCTGCCTGGGAGCCAGCTACGCCTACCCACCCCACCACCTGCTGACCGCTCGCCTCTCTTTCAGGTCTGGCGCCATGCGCTAGGGTACCCGGAACGCTGCGAGACCACACCCTCCTCATTTCAGGGGTCACTCCCCCCACTGCCTACTGCCCCACCATGGCCGGGGATCGGCTCCCAAGGAAGGTGATGGATGCCAAGAAACTGGCCAGCCTGCTGCGGGGTGGCCCCGGGGGCCCTTTGGTCATCGACAGTCGATCCTTCGTGGAGTACAACAGCTGCCATGTGCTGAGTTCTGTGAATATCTGCTGTTCTAAGCTGGTGAAGCGACGCCTTCAACAGGGCAAAGTGACCATTGCTGAGCTCATCCAGCCTGCCACACGCAGCCAGGTACCCACACCCCACACTCCACACGCACGCATCCCTGGGGCTGACCACTCTGAAGCAGGCATGCACCTGTCACCTCTGAAAGGAACAGTGGGGCCCTTGGGCCTGGTGTCCAGGGAGATGATCAAGCACTTCCCCTCCTCTGTCTCCCAGTTCCAAACTGGGTTCCTTGGGGGTCATACCCAGAGCTGCTGTAGGGCAGGCAGGCCCCTCCATTAAGGCTTACCTTGTGTTATCTTCCTCCAGAAGTGGTGGGGTCCTTTTTTGTCCCTAAGCACAAGGCAGGGCCTTGAGGGGTCTCGGGCTCACAGGGAGGAGTGGCAGGTGGATGAGGAAAGCGAGACACACAGAGGGGAACCGCAGGAGAGAGGCAATGGACGAGCACAACCCGAAGACAAGGACAGCTGGGTCTGGCCGCCCTTACTCTGTGAGTGCATGCGGGATGGCTAAGGGGCCCACGCTGAGCCATCCATGTACCTAGCCCTCCAGTTCTCATCCCTCCTGGGGTCTTCAGTGACATTCTGTGGTCCCAGGAGCATCCTTAGAAAGGTAGTGACTACTTTCTCTCCAGGACCATCCAGTGCAGCTGCTGGGTAGCGACTAGACCAGCCAGGAGTCTGTGGGGTGGTAATACCAACTGCTCCCACTCCTTTGGGTTGGAGGGGAATGCCAACAGCCCAGAGCAGTTCAGTCTCTGCCCTGCCCCGCTCCACGCTATGCTGTAAGAAAACCCAGGTGGGATGCCGCTTGTCGGGAGTCCCCCACTCTGAGGCCAGAACCAGCTCCCTGTGGTGCCAATGAGGAGAATCCAGTGATTAATCACCCCCAGTGAGGACTCCGGCCAGACTGCAGTTCCATTGGCTGCTGGTGACATCATCCAGCCCAGGGTTGACAGCTCAGCTGGCTTAAAGGCTGAGTGCACTTGGGGGGCAGGGACATCAGCCTGTCTGAGCAAAAGCCTCTCAACATCTGGGCCTAGGGCCACTGTGGTAGGGGAGAAGAACAGGAAGACCCCTGACTTTCAGCTGCCACCTCCTGGCCCAGCAGTGTCTGGGGAGGGGGTCCTGCTGCAGCCTCAGTTTCTCCATAAGGGGCTGGAGGAAACAAGAGAGGAGCGTTACAGGCCTTCTAGGAACCCTTAGAGTCAGCCCAGGCAGTGTGTATGTGAACCCATGTCCCCATCACACTCATCTACGTCTCCTGGACACTGACTTGGGTTCAGTACTTTCACCCATGGGGGGCATGGCTGCCTACAGCACAACCCCACCCCCACCCCCATCCCTGTCTGGTGCAGGGACTGTTAGAGAAGCCGTAGGTCTTTCTCTTCTGGTATGCACATACCTGTGTACTGGCAGATGGAGTGTACAGCCCCTGCCCCTTACTCTCTAGCACCTGGCTCTTCCTAGTGCCCTGACATCTGCCCTTTTCCCCATCCCAGGTGGATGCCACAGAACCACAGGATGTGGTGGTATATGACCAGAGCACACGGGATGCCAGTGTACTGGCGGCAGACAGCTTCCTGTCCATCCTGCTCAGCAAGCTGGATGGCTGCTTTGACAGCGTGGCCATCCTCACAGGTGAGTCCCAGGGATGGGCCAGGGCTGTGAGATACTTCTTTCTTGCATTGCCCCCCCCCACAAACACTTGGTTAGGCCTGGGGGTATCAGGCGGAGGGGAATTTCTGGGACAGTAAGAGGATCCCAGTACCTCTGGAGTTCTCAACCCCCCACTCCAGGACCCACCTCTACCTCAAAAGCAGAAGAGGTAGGCAAGCAGAAACCAGCTGGTGGTAGACAAGGAGCCAAGGACCCAGGCATCAACCTGGCTCTTTCTCAAGGGGAAGCAGTGGAGGCTTTAGCTCCTGGAAACCTGAGTCTGACCCAGAACTGATCTCCGAGCAGGGAGCTTGCTGAGAAGGTACTAGCTGACTGCAGGTTGCCTAACTTTTGTGCTCCCTGGGGCACCAGCCAAATAGCTCTCTGGGCTCCAAAAGCAGACTGGCCACTGGCCTCCAGAACCCTCACCGAGAGTCACACACCTCACACTCACCCTCGGGCAGTGCCCAAGAGGGATTCTGTGGAATCTCCTACAGAAGGCAGCCCAGGTTGGTTGTTGAAAATGGGTTTGTCCCAGGATGCCACACAGCCCAGCTGGAGTCTGGGGCCTTTGCTGAAGTCCCTTCCTGTTAGCCTCGGCACAGCACATAGCTGATGGTGTATCCTCCACTCTCACTATGTGTGGAGTTGGGTAGGATGGTAAGTGGGTGGCCAGGCCAGTTCCATGGCACCAGCATCTGCTAAGTATCATGACCTCTACCCTGACTTCTAATCTGGCCTGAGAGGGAGGCTGGGAAGGCCTGCAGACTGCTTTAGCTAGGCTATAAGACAGACCTCTGAGGTGCCAGAGGAGCACAGCTTGAGAGACTTAGAGGAGTGTCATGACATGAGTAGGGTATGATCCTACACCCCACACACAGCCAGTGTGGTCTAAGCACACATGCATGTGTGTGTGCTCTGACCTCTGATGATCAGTTGCTTTGTGTGTGTGTTGTGTGTGTGTCTCATCTGTGTGTCTGTATGTCTATGTGTGTCTGTGTGGACTCCCAACCTCTGGCATCTATACTAATGCTGAACCTGTCTGGGTGGGATTCGTGATTTATGTTGCAGACATGTGAATTTTAGAAACCAGAGGCCACATAACTGTACCCCAGGCCCCAGCTTTTTGGGCTCAATTTGAGGAGTTGCCTCTTGGTCCCAACAGGAACCCTTCAGGGCCCAACTCACCACTCTAGTCATGAACAGAAACATGAGGCCCTGCTCTTCTGGGAGTACAAAGAAGCCTAGAGCAGCATCCTACTTGGCTGTAGCAGGGCAGCCCAGAGCCTGGCAGGGCTTATCTCCTGGGGCCAAGAGGCAAGGACAGTTTGGAGGCAGAGGTAACCCTGGGCTTGGGCTGGAATTCCGCCAGAGGGTTCGTCTGGACCTGGCTGTGCCCTACCTGGCTTTCTGGCTCTCTGGGTCACCATCTACCTGCCCTCCAGTCCTAGATGTCTACCTTGCCAGGTTGTAGTCCTTTGTCCCTATTCCTCCAAACGCTGAACTAGGGTTCCTGACCACTGTAGTAAGAGGCAGGCTCATAGTGACACCACATGGCCCCAGCCTTCCACCACGAGGTGGGCACAACCCCTGCTGAGTTGGCGTAGCCCTGTGCTGGGAGAAACAGGAGGAAAACACTCATCTCGGGATGGACAGTGACCACACGCACAGTTAGTGCCAGCCCCTTAGCTTACTGGCTGGTGCTCAGAAATGCCAGGGATATGGGACCTGCCAGTGAAGGGAATGAGGAGACAGTACTGGGGTTCTAGGCACTGCCCCACAGAGGTAATATCTGGGGATGGACAGTGAGCGTAGCCCCTTGGTTTCCTTAAGCAAAATTGGAGTTTATTGAAGAAGGATTTTAAATTAGCTGCCACCGTGTATCTTAGTTACTTTGCTGTTGCCGTGATAAAATGCCAAAAGCAGCTCAAGGGAGAAAGAGTTTATCTGGCTCACAGTTCAGGGGTACTGTTCATGTTAAGGAAGTAAAGGCAGGATTGTGAAGTCGCTGGTCACATGACAAGCACAGTCAGGAAAAGAGGGCAGTGAATGCTTGCCGCTGCTCAGCCTGATTTCTCCATTTTATTTTATTTTATTTTATTTTTTAATTTAATTTAATTTTATTTTATTATTTTATTTTGGTCTTTTGAGACAGGGTCTCCCTGTAGCCCCAGTGGGCCTGGAACTCACTATGTAGACCAGGCTGGCCTTGAATTCACAGAGATCCACCTGCCTCTGCCTCCCGAGTGCTGGGATTAAAGGCGTGTGCAATCACACCTGGCTGATTTCTCCATTTTAAAAGCCAAGGAGAGCCTGGGAAGGGTCCAGTCTAAAATTCAGATGGGTTTTTCCACGTCAATTAACATAATCAAGTTAATCCCCCCTCCCCAGGCATGGCCAGAGGCTCTTCTCCCAAGAGATTTGAGATTCTGTCAAGTTAGCAATTAACACCAACTCAGTGTACATCATTATGAACAGGGAGGGAGGGAGAGGGCTTAGCCTTTTAAACAGCTAGACACCCTTGTCCAGGAGTTGGTACAGCCTGTGGTGGTACCATCACTGTGGAATGTGGGCCAGTGATGTCATAGCGATGGGACAAGCAGGCCCTGCATCCCAAGGGACCTGGAGGTGCTCAGGTGCCCCAGACCCTGGTGGGTAGGTGGCTGTAGGGAGAGCAGTAGTCTGGAGGTGAGTGCCTTCAGGGGCTGCTAGGTGGCACACACACACGGATGCACACACCACACATGCACACACGCATGCACTCAGGCATGCACGCATGTATGTGCATGTGCTTTTCTACATGTCTTGGATCTTTTTTTGGTCTTTTTGAGACAGACACGGGGATTACCAAGTCATTCTTCTATGTGGTACAAGGATCAAAAGCCCACTGGAAAGCCAGGCAAGGTGTTTACACCTTTAATCCCAGCACTGGGAGGCAGAGGCAGGTGGAGCTCTGTGAGTTCAGCCTGGTCTAGTGAGTTCCAGGCCAGCTGGGGTTACTAGGAGACCCTGTCTCAAGAAGAAAAAAAGAATGTAATCTTCAGGGAGGGTCAGGGCACTTCCCAGGCCCCAAAGACACCTAAGACCAAAACGGTGTCACTTGTTCAACCTTGGTACCCCCCCTTTCCACCCACCCACAGAGCCTGGGATAGTCCTAAAATCCCATGGCCCTGGGAGCCCAAAGGCAGGGCTGGCAGTGCCTCGGGCCCCTGGGAGCCTTTCTGAGAAGCTGCTGAGAAGTCTATGAGGTAGCTACATCTGCCAGAAAGGGTTAAACCTCCCTGTTGTGGGTGGGGCTGGAGAAGGGGCTCAAGTAGCATGTAGGCCCTCCCTTGGGACAGACTGTAGAGGACAGAGTGAGGTCCAGGCTCCTGAGAGAGCGGGCAGAAGCACCATCCCTCTAGGGCCTGGACCTGCACAGAAGCATCCAGTGTCCCCTGGTTCTGGGCTATGAGCAGGAGCCCATTCACAGACCCCCACAATGCCCAATTGAGCCTCTTCTTGGGACACCTACACATAAGCTGTGGCACTGCCTGTCCCACCATAATCTGCTGCTCCCTGTCCAGCCAACAGGTTCCTAGGGAAGGGATTGCCTCCCTCCTGAGGCCAGTACCTTGACTGCCCAAGCTCGGGGATTCCCCCAGTTCCACAGTCCACCAAGTCAAGGCCCCTTTGAGGGGACAGGGAGCTGCCACATCAGACATGCTGGCAGGGAGTTTGTGCTTGCTGTCTATGAGCTAGACCAGGGATGAAGGAGAAAGTGCCAGCTTCCCCATCCTCAGGAAATGTTCGGGTCCCTGGCATCTGCTTCTTCTCCAGACTAAGAAAGAGTAGGGAAAGTCCCCCAGAGCCCTGTCCTCACCGCACCCACCCCCCAGGGTAGGTCTTGGCCCAAGTGTCCTGTGCTCTGGATGGTATGATTGAAACTAGAAACCAATGAGCCCACTTTCCCGTTGGACCTTGTCATCCTGAAGCACAGGTAACCCAGTACTGTCAGATAGGTCCCCTCACCTTGCTGAGAGCTTATGGCCACAGGACAGACAGGTGCTGCCCAGTTTCTGGCTGGACTTGGTCATCACCCCAGCCAGGCTAGCTAGATGTGACTGGGTCTGTTTTCACATCTAGCCTAGCTAGTGCCTGTCGAGATCAGGAAACTGAGGCCAGAGGCGTGTCCTGCCTTTGGTCACTGAGTCAAACATACCAGAGGCTTCAGCTTGGGCGTCTGCAGCTGGTAGAGGGTTTCCTTTTCCAGCCCAAGGTCTGCATCCTGGCTATACCTGGACAGCAGCCACAGGGAGCAGGCTGCATGTACCTTGTGTGTAGGATTCCCTGCTTCTCTGTCGTCTCCTGCTTGGTGGAGTGGAGCCATGACTGAACCACAAATGCCCTGTGGGCTGTGATAATTCCAGTAGGTGATGTCATGCCCAGAGAGCGCCCCCCCCCAAAAGCCTTTTCCTCCCCAGCCTGGCACCAGAGCCCAGGATTGTGGCTTCTAGCCAACTGGAGGCAGGGAGGGATTGCATCAGCATGGAGGCCAAGTGCCAGTCTGGCCCCGGGCCAATGGTGTACAGGGTCTGGGGAAGGACTCTCCTTGTACCCTAGGGGACAGGAGACCACTGATGTGGTGTGAGCCATTCCCTGCCCGACTCCCTCTTGCTATGCTGACAGGCCACCTTGACCCCACATTTATGGGCATCAAAGCACTGCCCCTGAGCCAGTCCCTAATTAGCCTACAGAGGAATGTGGGCGTAGATGCCGGCTCTAAATGGGCAGCAGTACATGCCCCCAGTGCTGCAGAGGAGAGCAAGCAGCCTGCCAACAGGAGTCTAGGTGCCAGGCCAGAGGCTGGGGCTGGGCTTGGGGTCGGCAGGGTGTGGCTGAGCAGCCCAGAGGAAGTCTCTCCTGCCCTAGCTGGTCAGTCTCCTGAAGAGCCTTCTATGTCTCCCTCAGGGGGCTTTGCCACCTTCTCGTCCTGCTTCCCTGGCCTCTGCGAGGGCAAACCTGCCACCCTGCCATCCATGAGCCTCTCCCAACCCTGCCTGCCTGTGCCCAGTGTGGGCCTGACCCGCATCCTGCCTCACCTCTACCTGGGCTCTCAGAAAGATGTTCTGAACGAGGTGTGTACATGGGGTGTCGTGGCTGAGGGAAAGAGGCAAGGGCTCTGCCATTAGGCCCTGAGGTGGTCTGAGGGAGGAAAGGGTGGGTGCTGAGGGGTGGGGGCATGAGGACCCAAGGGCTCCCTATCCACTGGACCTCAGCAAGGCCTAGGGAGGGACCCAGCAGGGCTGGGTAGAAAGGCAGGCTTCCAACCCCACCACGGAAGAGGCTGGGAGCCTGCATGCCAAACTGCTTCTGTCACCGGGCCCCTGGCCAGCTCTGAAAGAGTCCCGTGTTTTAAAAAACGGTGAGGAGGGAAAAGGCCAAAGGCACCGCCCAGGCAACCATAAAATTCCTGAGAGCCTAATGCAGGCTGTGGGCGGGATCTACAGAAGCCATCTTTCCTACCCTCAGCTCAGGCCTGTGAGCTCCAGGGTTGAGACAAGCCGGGCTCTTGGGACCCAACTTTTCCATGTAGCAGGATCCAGGACAAAATCCAAGTGAGACTCAGGAGCCAGGCTCCAGGGTATCCCAAGGTGCCAGTCCTGCCCAGCCAGCAGAGAGGAAGTCTCCCAGCTCTTCTCCCTCCGGGAGCCTCTTTTCTCTGCCACCCCATTCCAGTCCATCTTCCCGTCCTTCCAGGATCTGATGACCCAAAATGGAATAAGCTATGTCCTCAATGCCAGCAACTCCTGCCCAAAGCCAGATTTCATCTGTGAGAGCCGTTTCATGCGCATCCCCATTAATGATAACTACTGTGAAAAGCTGCTACCCTGGTTGGACAAGTCCATCGAGTTCATCGGTGAGGGGAGGGCAGGGTGAGGCTGCTTCCATGGGGAGGTGACGGGGGAAGAGAGGAGGCTGGTAATGAACAGTGACCAGCTCTGCCTGCTGCCTAGGGAGGGCGGACCTGGGGTAGAGAAGGACAGTGCAGTCTCAGCCCTCACCTGGTCCCCCACCATCCACCTGCCCCCAGATAAAGCCAAGCTGTCCAGCTGCCAAGTCATCGTCCACTGTCTGGCTGGCATCTCCCGATCGGCTACCATCGCCATCGCTTACATCATGAAGACGATGGGCATGTCTTCTGATGATGCCTACAGGTACTTTTCCTCTCCTTGGCCCTCAGGGACCCGAACTCACCAACCTACGGCAAACAGCATGACCCTGCCCTGCCTCTTTCAGCCTACCCGTATGGCACAACCTACGGCCGGCAGGGAGGGAGAGCCTGACCCCAACACAGAGCTGGGGTACCCAAGGGTAGCGGCGGCTTCCGGGGAGAGTGGGCCCGAGTGTCCTGACGGAAATGCCTCTCGTGCAGGTTTGTGAAAGACAGGCGCCCGTCCATCTCTCCGAACTTCAACTTCCTGGGCCAGTTGCTGGAGTATGAGAGGAGTCTGAAGCTGCTGGCTGCCTTTCAGGGTGACGGGCCCCACCTGGGGACCCCCGAGCCCCTCACTGTCCCCGCAGCAGGCATCCCCCTGCCCCGGCTGCCACCATCTACCTCAGAGAGTGCTGCCACCGGGCATGAGGCAGCCACCGCAGCCGAGGAGGGCAGCTCGAGCGCGGGAGGAGAGGCTCTGACCCCCAGCGCAGCTCCAGCCACCAGTGTTCTGCAGCAGGGCCTGCGTGGCCTGCACCTGTCCTCAGACCGTCTGCAGGACACCAACCGCCTCAAGCGTTCCTTCTCTCTGGACATCAAGTCGGCCTATGCCCCCAGCAGGCGACCTGACTTCCCCGGACCACCAGACCCCGGCGAGGCCCCGAAGCTCTGCAAGCTGGACAGCCCATCGGGGGGCACGCTGGGCCTGCCCTCGCCCAGCCCGGACAGCCCGGATTCCGCTGCAGAAGCGCGCCCACGACCCCGCCGTCGACGGCCCCCCGCCGGCTCCCCAGCACGCTCCCCTGCGCACAGCCTGGGCCTGAACTTTGGAGACGCGACCCGGCAGACTCCACGGCACGGCCTGTCGGCCTTGTCGGCGCCTGGGCTCCCTGGCCCCGGCCAACCGGCTGGCCCCGGAGGCTGGGTTCCCCCGCTGGACTCGCCGGGCACACCGTCGCCCGATGGGCCCTGGTGCTTTAGCCCCGAGGGCGCGCAGGGCCCGGGCGCAGTGTTCTGCGCCTTTGGCCGGGTGGGCGCGGGCGCGCCGGGACCCGGGGGCGGCGGCGACCTGCGAAGGCGGGAGGCGGCGCGGGCAGAGCCCCGGGATGTGCGGACCGCCTGGGCGGACGAGCCTGCTGCCGACGCACAGTTCAAAAGGCGCAGCTGCCAGATGGAGTTCGAGGAAGGCATGGTGGAGGGGCGCGGGCGTGGCGAGGATCTGGCCGCCCTGGGCAAGCAAGCCAGCTTCTCAGGCAGTGTGGAGGTCATCGAAGTGTCGTGACCCTTCGGGGGTCCCCGCACCCCTCTGCTACAATCGGGGGCCTCTGCTCCAGTCAGGCCAGGTGTAAATATATATTATATGTAACGCAAAGGAAGGTAAATGATTTTACTGCAATTTTTATCGAGAAGTAAATATTTCGATTTTTTTATTTATTTAAGCTGTTGATTCTGGCAGAGATCTGGCAACCGTGCAGGGCAGCCCACAAGCTCTGTTTTTACTGTCTGGTATTTAAACTGAAACACAGGTTTTTAAGCAATATGAGGTCACCTTCAGTCCCAAGCTGGGGTGACAGTCCTGGGCCCCTCCTTTTCCCTCTCCTCCGGAAACATTTCTGACCTTGCAAAGAGTTGCCCAGCTTTCCTGCACTTTTTACATTAGAAAAGAGGGGGGGGGGAACTTTGCCACAAACTGAGCCGCAGACCCCTTGCCCTCCCTTTCCCCTCCTCTCCTGCTTCTTGTCTCTCCTGTCTTGGGCTCTGCACCAAAGCCATATGTGTGTGGGGTTGGGCTAGACCCTAGTGTCACTCTAGGGAGGCCCCCTAGCAGCCCCCCCACCTCAGGTTGCCAAGTCTTAGTGGCATAGGGGTACCCTCTGTGCCCATCACCCCAGGGCTGTTCCCTGGCAGGTGTTGGTGGGCACTGGGCCCAGTGGAACAGGTTTTCAGGGGGACTTGGACAAGGGGGCTCCTGAGAGTCAGATGAAGTGCCCCCAAGGCAAGGATGGGGAAAAGGTGCTCCTGCTGCTGCCTAAGTGAGGTCTAGTTCCTCGGGAGGGACCAGGAGGCCATTCAGAAGAGGCTACTTCCCTCTTTGCAGATGCCCCCTGAGAATGCCCTCTCTGTTGGGAAGCCCAGCAGATGCCCTAGTGTGGCCTGGAGGTAGTATCCAATGTCCAGTAGGAGAAGCCAGGCTAGCTGGGGCTGGCTCTGCTGGTCAGCCAGAAGCTCTGGGTGCTTATGAATGGGGGTGGATCCAAGCTCTCTTTCTGGGTTCTTCCTGGCCCGAGTGGGACTTGGAATGCAGGCGCACCTGCAGATTGAGGGGGCTCTGGAGCAGGCCTCCTTGCAGATGGAGCCAAGCAGCTTCCCTGGCCTTAGGCTCCTGGAGGCCGGGGTGGGGGTGTCCTCTGCTTTGGGAGAGCTGACTCAAGGCAGAGAAAGACCCCAGACAGGGACAGATGCTAGGAAAGTCCACCCCAGTCCCACAGGGGCCTCTCATGTGAGAGCCCTTCTGTCTACTTCTTTCCTGTCATTCTCCCTATCATCTTCAAGGAGGCTTGCCAGCCCCTGCCCCAGGTGGGTTCTTTTTTTTTGGCTTAGAGCCAACATGGGAGTGACAACAGGAGAGACACCTCAGCCGTCCTTGATGCTTCCCCTCTTGGGCCGTAGGGGGAGTCATTTTCGAGCTCTCGAAGACAGCTGTCCTTGAGTCTAGGAATAGGGCTGTTCCTTTAGGAAGAAATTAGTGGCTTGTTAACAGGTGGCCCAGGCAGGACAGAGTCCTGGAGAAGGCCAAGGGTGGCACCTTTCTACCCTTCAAGCCCCGCTCCTTCACTGCGTCCTTCCATTTGTCCTTGTGATCCACCACCCTGTGTTCCTGTCACCCTCCCTGAGCAAAAGCCCTGTCCCAGCTCTCTTGATCCCATCCACCCTGTTCCCTGAGAAAATAAGCTATTGTCGTATTTGCAATCTATGGATTAGAGGTTTAAGTATTTATTATTATTGGTTAATTATTATTATTATTATGTAAATTTGCCTCCTGTCTGTCGTTGGGTTTCTGAGGTGACCCTGGGTGTGGAGAATGCACTGGCTCCCTACTCCTTGCCCCCACTCCACTGCTGTCCCGGAGACAGTGGCTTGGGGCCGCCAGTTGGACCTGAAAACTCTGGGTTGGGTCCGGCCCCTTCCCTCTCCTGGGGGAGCTATGGTGTCTATCCTGGGCTTGTAGGGCCCTGTGGCCTCGATCTGTCGTCTCACTTACTCCTGACACTGGTCACCCCAAAGTGAGTAGCCAAGATGGAGAAGCGCCCAGTGGCCCCCTCCTGTAAGGGGTCGGGGAGACAGCACACAAGCCCTTCCCCGGTGGCTTCCACCCACTGTCCAACGTATGGAGGGTGCAGAGGCCTCTCTGAGCCTCTCTGGCCCTCCCACCCCTCCCACCTGGTCACTGCCGGCACTGGGATTGCCCAGAATGCACCTGGCCCCCTCTGGTAATTTGCTGGAAAGTCCAGCCAAGGAGAGGCGGCCATCTCCTGCCCAAGGCTTCTGGTCCCTGAGGACCAGGGTACCAGCTGCCCCCTTGGGACCCCGCCCTAGTAGGCGGCATTTTCCTGTTCTCTCCTTTTGTATTTGGAAACAATGTGTTGTAATAAATCCTGAGACGCTGTTTTCTCCAGGCCTCTGCTGCCTCTTTCTTCCAGTGCTGGTGGGAGAGGTTGGGTGCTGGGGAACAGTCTGGAGGCCCCCTGAGACCAAGGACCTGGTGGGGTGGGCGTGCAAAGCCCAGGTTCTGAGTGGGCAGAGGGCGGAATCTGAGACTTGTCCCTGGTGGGTCAGATGTAGAGGAGGGGCACAGGACTTGGCGTATACTCTGAGGGTGTAAAATATCTTCCTTTGTTACGTACTAGTAAGACCCGACTTTAAAGCTCAGTTCGCAGGCTGGGAAGAAGCTCAGGTGGTGAAGTATTTGCTCTGCGGTCACCAGGACCTGAGTGGATCACAAGAAGCCGGGCACAGTGGCATGCCCTGTAACCCCGGTGCCGAGGAGGCTGAGATGGAAGGGTGCTTGCTGCTCCTGGCCTAGCCTTCTTGGTGAGCTCTGGGCCAAGGAAGAGACTCTGTCTCAGAAAAACAAGTTGGATGGTTTTTGAGGAATGAGGCCTGAGTTTTACTTCTGGCCTCTACACATGTGTGCATGCATGCACATATACACCTACACACACGTACACACAAGCTCAGTTTGGTTGCCAACTACACTCATCCCCACAATCCTACCAGAAACAGCTCATCCCTCCAGACCTGCAATGTCAACACATTCACACATGCCCCACCACAGTCTTCCCAACAGACACGGGGTTTACCAAGTCATTTTTATGTGGTATGAGGATCAAAAGCACACTCGGAAGCCGGGCCTGGTGGCGCACGGCTCTAGTCCCAGCACTCGAGAGACAGAGGCAGGCAGATCTCTGTGAGTTCAAGGCCAGGCTGGTCTACCTAGGGAATTCCAGGCCAGCTGGGGCTACAGGGAGACCCTGTCTAAGAAAAAAAAAACAAAAAAACACTAGAGAGTCTGATGGAGAGCCCTGCTCTGTGAGCCCACCCTTGTCCCCAGACTCCAGGCTCACAGTCAATGCACCTGTGTCGATCAGGCTGTGACCTTGGAGCAGTGCCAGTGCCCAGACTCCTCTACCAAGTGCTGTTGTAAGCCATGTGACCATGAACATCCACCGTTCTGTAGGACAGACTTCTAGCCGTGGCTTTTCTGGGTCACCTCAACATTTGGTTCTCACCAAACAGTCTGTGTGCTGAGCACTCAGTGTGTTTTAGGAACTGCAGTGGGGAATTCCTAAGCGGGCTCCTGGGAGGATCTTCATACTCAGCTCTGCCCTCTGACTAAGGCAGCATCGTCCAGGTTTGGCCAGCCTATCCCAGAGGCCCCTTTCTGCCTTCAGGTAGTCAGGTGACATGTAAATGGATGTGTGTGTGTGTGTGTGTGTGTGTGTGTGTGTGTGTGTACACCAGAAGATGCAGGGAAAGAGAGGGGGGGAACATGAGACTAGCCCTGTTTCCAGCTGGTATTGAATCTTACATCCTCAAGAGCCCTCAAAGACGCTGAACGCTAGAAACACAGTCAGCCTGGAGCAAGGCTATTTTTAGCTCAAGAACATCTATTTATAACCCTGGCAGCCCCTTAGAGTCCATAAAACCAAGGACTGGAAAAAGCTGATGGTTGTCTCAAGCACAGCAGTACCCCTTACACCCTCCGTGCACATGAGCACCTGTAATTGTAGAAGGTAGGGGATGGCCCCTCTCCAGGGAGGCCAGCGGGCGGCGTGGGCTGCGGCCCCAGAGCCATGTAAGACTGCACCTCGGTGCGAAGGAGGTGTCCTTTACCAGTTAACCTAGACTCCCCCAGGGGCTGCATAAAAGCAGACCATGCTGGACTGGCCGCTGCTCAAACTCCTACGCTGCCATGCCCAGCTACCCAGTCACCCCAATGACCTGACCCCAGCTTCCACCTGTCTCCGTGCCCTCAAGCCAGCCAAGGACTGTCGACAAGCAGTGATGACAGCAGGGATGATGAGAGAGAGGGAGAGAGGGAGAGAGAGAAAGAGAGAGAGAGAGAAAGAGAGAGAGAGAGACTAGTCTCAAGGGGTAGACAGATGGGGAGGATCAATGGATACAGTAGATGAATGGATGACGGGAGGATGGGTAGGTGGATGTTTTAATATTTTATTATTTTTATTTTATGTGTATGAATGTATTGCCTGCATGCATGTTAAGTGCACCCGTGTCATGCGATGCCCATGGAGGTCAGAAGAGGACATCGCATCCCCTGGAACTGGAGTAAAGGACAGTTATTAGTCATGTGGATGCTGGGAACCGCTGAGCCATCTCTCCAGCCCCAATGTTTTTGGATTTATTTTCATTTTATGTGTATGAGTATACTGCCTGCATGTATGTAAGTGCACCTGTGTCATACAATGCCCTCAGAGGTCAGAAGAGGGCATTGGATCCCCTGGAACTGAAGTTATGGATGTTTGCCAGCCACTATGTGGGTGCTGGGACCTGAACCCAGGTCCTCTGCAAGAGCAGCCAGTGCTCTTTACTGCTGAGCCATCTCTCCAGCCCCCGATCTTCTGTCTTCTGTTAAAGGCTTGTCTTCAGCCATTCATGGTAGTGCCTGTCACAGTCCCTGCACTCAGCTGAGGCAACCGGATTGCTTGGAGTTCAGTGAGGCATTGTCTCAAAAACAAGCAAATAGGGCCCAGTGAGATGGCTCAGCAGGCTGGTGCACTTGCCACCAAGCCTGATAATCTGAGTGTGAGCCCCAGGACCAGCATGGTGAATGAGAGGAGTGACTGTGCTGCAGTTTATCTTCCGAAATCCATACGTGAGCTGAGGTGTGGCTGTGCCCACACACAATAAATAACCATGAAACGAACAACAAATAACAGCAACAATAATCATAAAGATGTATGTTTCTAGGGTTTGAGAGACGGCTCAGTGGTTGAGAGCCCTGGCTGCTCTTGCAGAGGCCCTGGGTTCAGTTCCCAGCACCTACATGGGTAACTGACAACCATCTGTAATTCTAGTTCCAGGGGATCTGATGCCCCCTTCTGACCTCCGTGGGCATTGCATGACATGGTGCACTTACATGCAGCAGGCAAAACATAAAATAAAAAATAAAATTATTTTTTAAAAAAGATGTATCCTCTGTTCCCTGTTGTGCTGGAGACAGGTACTAGTCTTGTGCATAGAAGGCATGCAGCAACACAGCAGGTACCCTCGGAATGAGTCAGCATTTCTAAAACTGGACACCACTGTAAAGCCCAGTTTTCTCTTCCAGGCCCAGGGAGAGGGATTGGATTTGTCCTCTGTCCCTCAGCAAGTCAGGCAAAGCTAGGGATAGACTAGGCTCCCCATTTGCTCCATCATCCCTCCAGACAGCCTCCTGTCAACAGTCCCTGAAGGTGTCCTGGAGGGCTGTGTGTGCATTGTACTGTCTTTGGTGGATTTGTTGAAGCACGTTTTTGCTCAGGGCTGGAGGGGCTCAGGGCACAGCATAGGCAGCCAGTTCCTAGGAGGGTGACATCTAGCCTCCAAAGGCTAAGTTGCTGGGAGAGGCTAGGGACATGTACAGAAAGCGGGGGAATGCAGGGGGTCACCAGGTGGGAGAAATGGAATTGTGAGGGGTCCAAACAGTGGACCTGGGCAGTGGGTGTCTCAGACTCCTAGGAAGTGTTGCAGGGGGTTGGACACATGAGTGGTGATAGGGGCTTTGAAGCTGGGTACCTAGTACAGTTACTGTGAGTCCTTGGATCTCTGGGTCCCCTTTGGAGGAAAGCCTGCCCTCCAGAGAAATCAAATCCTGGTAGGAATGAAGGCTAAACCTCAAAGGCACAGAACGGTTTGAAGCCCATTCTGGGTTTCTGAAGCGTCTCCAGATGTAGGGTGATTCCTGGAAGGAGAAGCAGGCACCTTGAAGTGAAGGTGTCTTTATGAAGGGAGTGGGTCCCCCTGCGTCTTAATTTTATATTTATTCTTATTTATTTATTTACTTATTTATTTATTTAGTCTTTTGGGGGCTGTAGCCCCAGCTGTCCTGGAACTCACTAGATAGACCAGGCTGGCCTTGAACTCACAGAGATCCACCTGCCTCTGTCTCCCAAGTGCTGGGATTAAAGGCGTGCGCCACTATTTTTATTTATGTGTGTGAGCGTATTACCTGCATGTGTGTAAGTGAATGCCTAAGAAGGTCAGAAGAAGGCATCAGATTCCCCTGGAACTGGAGCTGTTAGTCCCATGTGGGTGCTGGGAATCGAACCCAGGTCCTCTGCAAGAACAGCCAGTGCTCTTAACCACTGAGCCATCTCTCCGGCCTGGGAATGGGTCCCCTTGTGGGTCAGGAGGAATGTCTGTCCTGGCCAATGAAGAGGGAAAGAGGATGCTTCTTGGGCCAGTTTCCAGAACAGTCTCCTGAAGACTGTTTGGGGCATAAACTTGCTTCCTCCCCTGTCACCCCATCCTTTCCACCCCCTCCCTGCCACAGAGCAGGGTGATGCAAGGGCAGTCCTCTGCCAAGATGTCTGGTGAGCTCCCTCCAGCCTCACCAAATAGAGCAAAACGCTTGCCTGCCTTCAGCACCCCCACCCCCCACCCCACGGAGCTGCTGCAGTGGAGGTGTTTGGAAGGATGCAAAGGTCTGAGAGAAGGAAACAGAGCAGGCTCAGTACAAGACCTTCAACTGGAGCTCCCAGGAGACAGTGGGTGCACGGCCCAGAGGCATGTCTCAGCATCTTTGCAAACAGAATTGGAAACTACGGCAGCAGCCAGGCGAAGTGCCTCATACCCCTTCCCCACCAGGAATCACACCTAGGTACAGGGGTTGGAGACTCAGGCTGATGCAATTGGTGGACATGACTATGAATAGCCAAGGAGAGCCTTAAATAGAAGGGCTGAGTCTCAGAGAGAGCCAGGTGGGAAGGAGATTGGGCCTGAGTGCCCAGGGACTCCAGAGGAAGCACCAAAACCAGTCCTGGGTCCTCTGTCTCCCACCATGCCCCAGTCCGGCAGGATGTTTGCACAGGGAAATGTTAGGGAAAGCCTGAGGGTAAGTAAAGTTTGGAACTTGGTCTATCCCCACCAAGGTGGTGACTCACAGCACCATC